CTCTACTGCTCTCTGCGTTACACCGCTGCACCCTCCCCTGCTCAGGCTATCCCACCACCCTCACACAAGCGCGCTCGCAGACGGATATATACATGCACAATTTCACCGGAGGGCACAGAGCTGCTTCTATTTATAACCAGGTGCGAGGATACACAGGTGCAGGTGAAAATCACTCTTATCAGGCAGCATGTGAGTGAGAGAATGTGTGCGGAGAGACCGACTCGATAAAGATCTTCTAGATGTTTCCGTGTTTAATCGACGCAAACAAACAGAGGAGACGGGAAAACGGAGAAGGAGAGAGAAGGGTCTGTGAGCTCTTAAGCTTTCTAGGAAAACAGGAAGGGCTTTGGATTCAGTTTTTTTCTTACATTTCAAAGCAAGGAACTGGCAAGGATGCACACAGAGAAAAGATGATTTTTTTCTTTACAAAATACCTGGAACGTCTCTCAGAAACTCTTTTCACACAGCTGTTTGTCTGATTTCCACTCAAGGTTTTTCCTGCTAATAGAAAATCATCAGAACTTTCATTAAAAACCACAAAAATTAGCAAGTTATAATTTAAAATGTGAGTTATTTTATTGAACATTGAGCCCTGCCACTCCGGTGAAGGCCGATAAAGATTATATTTAATTCTCTGTGCAGATTTTCTTAGAAAACACGTAGCAGCATCGGTTCACCGAAGACTTTATATAAATGGTGTGCAAAATCCCAATGAGAAGCCTGAAGACAGTGATTTCGAAGTTGCACTCCTGGTGTTTTGCACCAACTCATTCTTTCCGTTTGTATCCGGGAAAAAGGTGCACAAATATGCAAATTCCTCCCAGGTGACTTGAAATGACTGGAGGTGGTGACTGAGTATTATTACCCTTCTTTCTTCCTCAAGACAATGACTTACTCTAATGTTTTAGGTCTCCATGGCGATGACGTTAATACTAGGGCTGCCACGATTAGTCGACTAGTCACGATTACGTAGACTATCAGAATCGTCGACGACTGATTTAATAGTCGATGCGTCGTTTGAAGCTTTGTAAGATCACAAAGGACGCAGGAATGAGTAGTAGGATTTAAGAGTGTAATAACGGACTGAAACAGAAGATGGCAGCACTGCATGTACAAGGATGCCAGCAGCCGTTAAACCCCGAAGAAGGAGAAGTAGCTCTGTCCCACAATTCATAGCGCAACCCAGCTCAGTTTCCAACAATGCCGGAAGCTAGTTAGTTTTAATATTATTATTCTTTCTGGGTCACAAAATAAACGTTTAACATATTTTCAGGCGAGAATGTAGCTGTGTAAACCTCAAATATCTGCTCAGTTTATCAGGACACCACATATTTTCAAAAGCGCTCCGACGTTTTCAGAGACGTCTGTTACCCACTAGCTCGATAGCTAGCCAGGGGCAATGCTCACTAGAACCCGTGAGACTCCCGGCAAATCGTTTTCAAACCCACCGCTGTCTTTCGCTACTCAGGTTAAACATATATATAAGTCACTTAGATAACTTAAAATGTTATTGTTTGGCTTTTTGTAGTATTTTATTTGTTCCTGAGTAAATCGGTTTGGCTGAGATTAAAGTTATAGTTTTTACACAGCTGAATAAACGTCAAGCAGACAGGATTATCAGAAGTGTGAGATGCTCGAGAATATACTCCGGTGTCCCGTTATATTTTAGATAGCAAGGAGCAGACGGCTGAGTTTATTAAACTTCACCGAAACAATCTGCAAATTTCATTAAAATTTAATAAACTATCATCTTGTCTTTATTTTTAGTTAGCACAGACCTTAAACACTTAAAGCTGTAAGCTAATGATAGTTATATAAGAGCAGATGCTGCTGGTGCAATAAGCTGTACGTTTTACGTCCAATGGATGATGATCTGATTAGTCGACTAATCGCAAAAATAATCGGTGACTAGTCGACTAGCAAAATAATCGTTTGTGGCCGCCCTAGTTCATACATTTGGTTGTTTCCGTATTTAATGTCAAGTACACTAGTGTATTTGTTTCCAGTGTGCATTATATGTGTGCTGAGTGGCAAAGCTGTCCATGATACTGTCTATTTCCTGATTTCGTCAATTAGCTAAAAAGCATTTCTAAATTTTATTTATTTATATATTTTCATTGTCTTCAACTTTCTTCTGCTGCGTGGTTAAAAATGGTGTTCCTCCTGATATAACGTAACACTGAGTCCTAGAACCAAGAAATTCTGGCTTTTTTGTAACCGCTGCAAATCCCTTGAGATCCCCGGCTAAATATAGATCCCTTTAAGCCGGAGCAGCTTGATTATAATTTATAAATATTCAGTATTCACACTTAAGTCCTAATATTTTGCTAAAATAACATAAAATGTCATGATAAAACCCAATTTCAGCCCAAAGATTGTTAAGTAATGGTATAGACTATTAAATGCCAGAGTCAGTCAGTGAGATTCTGGGCTACCCGAGAGCTATCTATATATCTACATGCTGCATTTTGAATTATTAATAAAACTGTGTCTCTTTTCATTTGATTAACATTTTACATTCTAAAATTATGTTTACATTTGATGATGTTAATGACTAGATGAGTTAGAAAACACTCAGAAAACTGAGCACAATGTAATGGGAGAGAATAATCTTTGTGATGTTGCATGTATATACAACAGCTATTAAAAACATGAATCAGTCCTTTGGTAATCAAACTGTATTTTATGCTTCAAGGCTAGAAAAGAAGAACAACGCTATACTAACTTGCTTGCATCATATGATAGCATGTTAGGTGTAATGATATTAGGTTTCAGTATTGCTTAATCTGAAACTCCCGTGACCAAGTTTGGTTTGTAGGGTTGTCAACCAGCCATCATCATATCTCTGAACCTCTGAGTTACCTCACGGCCGGCCCTCTGTCCCTTCTATAAGCAGTCTAAGACCATGGCGTGTCGTTTTCTCATTCAGCATTTGAGTCGCTCGGTACTTTAAGTGCTGATGTAGCAACGATAAGATTACAGGTGCAATTCCAGCTTGTAAGTACAATTTCAGCCCAGTTATGTACCATTTCTTTTGGACATCTAATCAACGGAAAATCGCTCAGTGTGCTGACGTGCTTATTTACACGGTCGCCAGTCACAGAGCAACATTATCATTTATTTTGAGTTGTGTGTCTTCGCACCTGGCAGATGTGAGTGCAACATTCACTCAAAACCCCTAAGGGAAATATCTTTCTGTTTACCTGCTAAAATATCCACGATGTTTACCAGCTACTCACACGGGTAGAGGGTTTTTAGAGCTTTTTACGCACACACACACACACAAAAAAGAAACACCCGCCCGCTGCAGCTGAAAACAATGCTGTTAAAACAGCAAGCTGAGTGCTAGAAAGCTAAACAATGAGCTGATGATGAAATAAAATTGATGACTGATTTATTATTAATATGTTGCATTAATCTTTTATGATTCAGTACTTACTGATAGACCTTTTCACATATAAAATGCATTATGTGGGCGGAATTCGGGACAGCTGAACATTACACGTGTCACATTATTGCAAATTATCGGCTGCTTTCCATGCAGAAAAATATAATGAGCCCAGCCAATAACACAATTAACATTAAGGATAGATGCTTTTTATGCACACCAAAACTAAACTGGCTAGAAGCTTCAGTAATCAATAGATTCATGCAGACCTTATTCAGATGTTCCTGTTAGGGTCGTCACAGCGCATCGCCTGTTTCCATCTCTTCCTGTGCTCTGCACATTCGTCTGTCACACCATCTATCTGCATGTCCTCTCGCTCAATCCACAAACCTCCTCTTTGGCCATTTTTCCTCCTGCCTGGTAGCTCCATGTTCTACACTCTTCTCCCATTTTAACAAGTATCTCTCCACCACACAACCCAGTTCAATCTCACCGACCTTACTTTGTCCCTGAAGTATCTGACTCCCTCTGAATCCTGTCGACTAACATCGCTACCACCTTGTAAACACTCTTTTCTTCACCTCCACACCAGTTAGCATGCTCGTGTCAAAAATTGGTCAACCGTCGGTATGCATGCAGTTCTCTTAACTCTAAGGAACATTTTAGTGGCAGCGAGCTACGGTTTTTAATCATACACCGAACCGCTTTACTGTTTTGGGTCACTAGTATCACTCCCTTTGTTTCCACTGAGAAAACAAAGCTGTTTTTCACACACAGCTAAAAGCCTCTCTATGCTACCTGCTCGGGATCTAAGACCCAACATTTAGCGATACTTATAAACACCTGAACATATCAGTCATATCAGAGAGAAAAAAACAGAGCTAAATGCAGAATAAAAGAAAATATTTGATGCTATTTTAATGCTAAGGGTAAGGAAAATACTTACTGGCATGTTTGCCCTATTACACAATCATTCAGCCATGTGAGGTCTAAGTCATCGCAGGTAGTCCTACCCTTATCTTTTGGAGAAGGGCAAAACAGACAGTGAACACTGAATAGTTCTTGAGCATCAGCTACAATTAATATTTCCTTGGTTCCCTGACTGCCACTCTTAAACAAAAATATCCTGATTGCCTAAGGTTAGCGTAAAGGCGTTTACATACCAGACATTTCATGTATAATATTTACCAATTTTTCAGATGTGAATGAGAAGATCTGACCATTCAGATGACTGCATTTGGAAGCACTGTCATCAAAGTGCTTGCTCATAAGGGGGTCATTTGATTGCTGGGGTTTGCTCTGTATCATTGTGTTGTTGTCTTTACCTTATAATATAAAGCACCTTGAGGCAACTGTTGTTGTGATTTAGCGCTATATAAATAAAAGTGAGTGCCGCTGTTTCACAATGCACTCGGTGTGTAAGGGCTTTTAGGGTTGGCACTAATGATAAGCACTATACTATACAAAACTACATTTGTATTAAAAGACGGTTATAAATTCTTCCTTTCCATGTTTGTTACTGCCAGCTTTGCACATGTGTGCGTGCATGCGTGCATATTTTTGTGCATTTCTCTCTCCCTCTTTGTATAATGGTGCTTCGTGGTGATCTTACCCTCAGTGGAGGATCCGGACAGATCAATGACCACGTACACCTTCCCTTCCGGTTCCAAGTCAATCTGTGCAGAGGAAGAAAGAAAGAAACGGAGAGTAAATCAGCAAGAAATAACACGACTGAACAGTGAGTGCGGCACGGGGGCAGTCCTCCAGCACAAACAAACACACCAGTGCACATGCAAGAGGTCATTATCTTGACTAGATTACACTCCGCCCCGACACTCCATATTATTATGGTTACACTCTTTTAGCCCCCATGTACTCCTGGTATTAAATGCAATTATGCATAAAGATTATATGTAAGCAATTACCTGCATTTTCAGATATATTGTAAACAACATATAATAAATGCAAAGGCACCACTATCTTTATTCGTCCTTCAGCTAGGTAAGTAGGTAAGTAGAGCAGCAAATTTCACACAGAAGGTGATACAGCTGTACTGGCTCAACCTTTTTTGCCTTTGGCGAGGTGAGTTTGTCTCCATCACTTTGCAGCGTTTGTGTAGAACAAAAATAAATAAATAAATAAATTCAAGGACGGCATCCAGACAGCATTCACTTTTTCACTTTATAACGTGGTTGCTTTAACAACCACATTCAAGCGGGATGTAAAAGTACAGAACGCATGTTAATAGCTCGTGTAAAATGAAATAGAGCTTAGCATAATACAAAGCTTCAGCATTTCTACTGAGGTCTTTGGGGGTGATTAGAGAATCCTTCCATCCTTCCATTTTATTCCATTTATCCAATTCAATTCATTAATCTGAAGTCAAACATGACATAAGTTTGACTTAGGTAGTGCATTTCTTATGATGCTTGTGATACTATGCATGTACTCGCTAACTCAACCAGAAAACTAAACATTCCCATCGTTGCTGAATTGCACTAAAACTAATTAATCATCTTTTACACACCTTCTTACAATTATAATTCTTTTGAGCAATTCTGAGTAACAACAAAAAAAAGTAAAATCAAAGGTTTATTTATTCAAATAATTAATCATTAAGGAGAATGCACTTGGTAAAAATTAAATGTATACCAATCAAATCAATTTAATTTGACCCTAATCTGTTAAATTTAATGTTTTACCATGTGCTCATATAACAAAAATGCATGGTACTTTGGGCATAAATCTTTTTTTATCGTATTGTGTTGCACAGACATGAGTCGTTTATTTGATTTATTTATTTGATACACCCTGTTTGTGATCATGTACAATGTTTGACATCGACCATTAAATTAGGCTCAATTTTAAGTATTTTCTTATTTTTACGTTTGTTTGATTATTCTCTATAGCTCCCGTTCAACTACATATCAAATATCAGTCGACTCAGATCTCCAAAATCTGGTAAGCTTGCGTGAACCTTTCACGCTATTCCCAGTCGTGGTGCGCCCATTCATACCCAGGTGCGGCTGGATGGTAGATGAATTGGGCACACTTAGGCGCTTTACACATCAAGTATGAAAGGAATTCAGCCATCGATGAAGATGTAACCTCAACACCGCTCGTCTGTCATTCCCCTTTCCAAACACCTGTCTCATGAGAAATGTGTGTATGCGAGCAGATTTCAGCACTCACATCTGCTTCCCGAGCATGACAGATGAGGTTTGAAGACAGGTGAGACAGAAAACAGGAGCTGTAGCGGCATGAAAGGATTCTCCATTGGAAAGTTTTCTGTGTATACAAGTGTCACATGCATGTGTTCTCTAGTACAAAAATATTAATAAGAGCGTCGGCCAGTGAGAAGATGGGAGTAAAGTATTCGGTCTGGGTAAATCTAATTGAGAGGTTTGGTTGTTTTTAAGTGATTGAAACTGGATATCTTTGGTCTTTGGTCATGACTGTGTCTTCAGGAAGTGTAACGGATATGTTTTGCTATTCTCTGAGACTATCTAAAAGACAGGACAGCCATTTCCTGCCTTCTCTTCATGCCCCTCACCACGTTCCCCAGTGTGATCGGTATTCTCACACCGTCATCATTATCATCACCTTTACCACCACCTTCACTTCAACACAGTCTACAGTATCACAGCTTGATTACTGCTGACATTTGATTGTGTTTTCTTGTCAATTTTAACTCAACTGCACTGATAAACTGCACACAATCAAGATACATACGTACAAAATTTACTCAAGTCACATTTTTCACTGCTGTGTTTTTATAAAAGAGACTGAGATTGAGTTTTTGGACCTTTAGGAGCATTATTTAACAAATTACTGTGTCATACAGACAATCGAAGAACTTTCTGCATTAGTTTTCATGACTGAAATTCTAGTATGTTAGTACTAATTAGTAGATATGAGTGTTTCTGTGTTGCCTATGTGCTATGTGTGTATGCAGCTTGCTATCGTTACCTTTCAAGCTCGAGGCTTAAAAACACGAGGTCCTATATCTGGACGAGTGGTTGACTGGGTCCTCAGTCAACTTTGCTGATCTAAAAAATACCTCAGAAAAACCAAACTCAAAACTTTAGGAAAATAAAGGCATCAAAATAGAAAAAAAAATGGGTTAAAGGCAACTCACTAGTAACGCAAATAAAGGAACAGACATTGTATGGAATACAGTCAGATTTCGTATAAACTTCAGCTTATCAATGGTTAAAAAATGAGCAGGTTGTCATCTGTGTTTGCAGCATACTGTTTGCAATGACTTCCTGTAACAGTTAGGCTAAACCAAATAGCAAATGTCCCTTCCTGCTAAATAACACTGCTCATCCAGTGTGTGCAGCACAAGATCATTTACATACGGCGATTATTAAGCTCTAATATTAACTTCCTGCATTTTAACAAAAGGGAAATTGCTGTTATTATAGAGAGCAGCAATCAAAATGTTTATGGCTGCATAATGCAATTTAAATAAATATAGTAGAGAATTTCTTGATAGTAAAACGCTCAGCCCAGTAAAACCTTCCTCAGCACAGAGTCCAATGAGCACCTTGGCAAAACATTCTCTTGTGTGAGTTTATGGCGAACAAATTTGCAGCACTGGCATCTTGGACAAGTCACATCGCATCCAAGTCTCATCCAAACCTTTTATTTTTAGATCACCAGCAAGCCCAATTCTGAAGGTACATTATAAATGTGGTAAGATATTAGTGTCTATTCTTATACTCAAAGATATTTAGAGTTGCCAAAACAGCAACTAGTTGATAGAGGACGTCTGGAATGAAGGCAGTATGAGATGTATGTACAGTACAGTTATAATCCATTCATCCTCTATATAAAATGAATAAATTAAAGTCAGTGTAATTAAATGAATTAATCAAAACCGCAGCTGATTAAATCACCACATCAATCATTATTTTTATTAAAAACAAAAAAAATTACATGTTATAATGAGTTAAGCCAGCCATCAAAAAGGGAGGCAGTTTCAAACTTTTAAATATTAATGGGTAAGGGCGATCTGCATACGCACAGAGACTTATTCAACACCAGCCGCCCACAACACACATGCAGTCACAGAGATGGGAGAAAGTGCAACAGAGCGAGCTGGAGAGGCAGACGACCCAGGAAGAGAGAGTGAGGAAGAGAGAGTGAGGAAGAGAGGTTTAAATCCTTAGTTAAGCTCTGGGACAGCAGCAGATCCTCTTATGCAACAGTCAGACTTGCACACAGGAGGCAGCGCACATGCACACACACGCACACACGGACTCCATGCATTGCTGAACATGAGACACAAAGAACACAAACAAATAGGGGGTCCATACCTCCACACATCACACATCCTATCCCACAGCAATCAGGCACAGTGCGTGGAGAAACACACACAGAGCTACATGGACAGAAACTAACAGTCCTGCTGCCTACAGTTGGACTAATATGACATAAACAAATAAACATGACACTTTTTTTAACCTACATATTTCCTGTCCCCTTAAAAATATCACAAAAATGCTGCTTGCTTAGATTTTTATGGTTCACAGAGTTAAAAGATACCCATGCAAATAAATTCATTAATGTGTTACATTTTCTTTTGATTCACTCTCAAGCTCATATTTTCTTCATCTGTATGACTTTCATCAAAGACCTGTCAGCTTTTCTGTCATTTTATGGTACTACTGATGTCAAGTAAAGATGGAACAATACATAAAAAGGCCAGCTTGTGTGCATTTTAGTTGTTCTTACAGCAAGAAATGTGAAAAATGCCACACATTTGGTGTCATATCAGGGGATCTGCTGCATTTCTTTGACATATATTTTATTTTTAACTGAAAATCCCAATGTAAAGGAAACTGTCCCAAGCTAAAAACGCTAAAAGACTCGAAAGATGTACTACATATGAAAGTGCAAGTATTATCCTTTTGTTTTGTGTGTCTAACACATAGCAACTGCGGGGGATTTGTGACCTATAAACGCCATTGGATTCTTCATGTCTACCCTTGAAAATGATGTGCTAATCCCCAAACGTAACCTCTTGCATAACAGCGCATCTCAGCGGGGATTTCAGCCAAAAGATGGACGCAGAGTGATTTGGAACAGAGTGGAGCAAATGGACAGCACCATCACTGATTTAGCGCTCGGATGGCACGCCATCCTGCAAAACGGCACTCTTTCCACATCGCCAGTTACTGGCCACTTGAGCCATGCTGTGCCTTCGAGCTCGTTTTTCATATCCAAAATCAATTAAAATACAAAAAATACATCTGCTGCACAGATATGAGTTTTGGAGGATGAATTAGACCATATATGCACTCACGTGTATCTTTAAAAATGAAAAAAGAAGAGTTTATTGCAGTTATAAAGCAATAAATAAAAGCCATGACAGATACAGTATTCTATGCACAATGGTTAATTAGGCATCCAGAATTATACCAGCTTTGTTATATACGACCATTTTTACCATAAATCCAAACCTCAGAGTTTGGCCAAGTCACCACATTACTTGTAGATTGTAGAGTCATCTAAACGCTTCCCACAGATCGTCATGACATTGATTGTTACGGTAAAGTTAAACATCCATGTAATCTGAAGGAATTAGAAATATTTATAGGTCAATGGAGTTAAACATAATAGTGGATTCTTACATGAAGCATGGCCAAAGTTTCAAACAAAGAAGTTTCAG